CTTCCAAATAATACAATATTTTTTTGGCGTTTTCTAGGCAAATAATAAAAGTGTGAAAAATCTATATAAATAACACGCTTGCGTTTGTTTGTCTGGAATTTTTCTCACAAGTTTTTCAATCAAACGCTAAATTATAGAATAAGGAAAATTGAAACGAAGGGCATGAAAACTATCGCAAATGTTTCAATAAGTAATATAAAATCGTTGTTCAAGTAAATTTTTAGTTCTTTAAATGCAAAGGAATTTATCAAGCAGATTGACCTTGGAATACAAAGAAGTTATCATCTATTATATTATAATGTGAATAGTTAGGCTGACTTTCAGATTTCAACAAGATGTTTGAATATGTAACAAGAATACGGAACTACTTGCGGCTTTAACATTTGCATAAAAACAAAAAAATACTTTTCCAACCCAAATATGTTCCGTTCATTAGTTTCCAGATTAAATATGCCCCATCTGTTACTGAGGAAAAAAAATACAGTGTACTCGAACATTTCCCGACCATAAAGAACTCCAGCAGTTGCCAACCCAAAATATTTACCAAATTAAAAACAAAAACTACAGAAGTTTCCAAATCAAAAATATTTCAGCTGCTCACAAATTAAAAATTCCATTAGTTTTCAATCCAAAAATAGTTAACTTGTTCCCAAATTAAACAAAAAACTCCAGTCTTTACCAACCCAAAAATATTACAGCTGCTCCTAAATTACAAAATGTCAGCAGTTCTCAATCCAAAAATACTCTAGAAATTATCTGCCCCCACCCCAATATTCAGTGATTCCCAAGTAGTGCGTCCAACTTTGTAAAATGCTGCGATCTAATTTGATTATAAATACGAAACGCCAGAAAGAAGTGATTCTCAAACTTTTGAAAAAGACTTGGGTAAACAATTATAAAAAAGTCTACATACAGGGTCTGGACTGAGAACGAAATAATTAATATGAAACTTGTAAAAGTTAAATTTTAAAACAAAGATTCTTAGTTTCACATTCATATGTTTCTTTGAAACAATGGCATTTGACACAATAAACTATAATTCTAGAATTGTAGGTATTTTTTATTTGTAACAAACTATTTAAGGCTATTTGCCATTGCCCCTACTTTTGATATACTTAACAGAGTAAATGTTGCTTGTCGGCAGCGCCCTTCTGACATTCTTATAACGCACCCACTGCTTAAAGTGCAGGGAATATTTTGTGCTATCGTACGGATTCTAACCCAGATTGTTAGCTCCGATATTCAGAGCTTTATCACAGGGCCAATCCGCTCCCATTTTTTAAATGTAAACCATGAAAGATACTAGAATGAAAAAACATCAAATGTTGCTAAGTCCTTAATAGAAATAAATTTTTGAGGTAAAGTTTATAAAATATGTTTAGCATCTTTATAATGCCCCCACTCCGGTGGTTCAGCAGAAAGATTAATGCTGATAACGCTAAAAATTCGGGTTCGATCCCCAGTAGACAGCTCAGATATCCTATTGTGTAGCTTTTCGCTGATACAAACGAACAGTTTATATATATATGAGTGTGAACCTCTCGAGCGTATTTAATATATGAATATTCAAAGCACCACCACGTTTGAATCATCGTTTGTTTTAATATTTATTCTGGTTTTTGGTTAGTGGTGCTTTCACATTTTTAAGACCGCTCTTCATCCAGTTGTTACTACATATATTCCAGGATTACATGCTAATATTAAAGAGTGGAAGACTTTGATTGCCTCCTTTACATCTAGTGTTATAAGTGAAATTATGTTATCTACATAAAAAGTATACATGTGAAAATTCAGCACTGAGGAAAACATATAAAATGCAGAATCAGATTCTCAAAAGAGAAACTTGAGATAAACTTTGACGATATTTTTCATGACTCAAATTATTAGAATGTTTAGCAGAAACATAATCCAAATACAAACAAAAAGTATCAAAACATTTCGCCACCACGTCAACAACAAAAACACAAAATAATATA